AGAGAGAGAGAGAGAGAGAGAGAGAGAGAGAGAGAGAGAGAGAGAGAGAGAGAGAGAGAGAGAGAGAGAGAGAGAGGGAGAGAGAGAGAAGTTCAGAGGTTTTTGAAGGGTCTGCTGGAAGTCAGTTGATGTTCCTCTCACTTATTTTTTCCAAATGTATGATGGTGTGCAGACAATGACAGCCCGAGGTTTGCGCCGATATGCACAATTTCTTTGTAAGACTAAACCATGTGTATCGAGTTGGAGCAGTGTCCAAGCACTTTTGGAGCCATTCTTGCCAAAGGTTAGTGCAGAAGCACACATTCCCTGCTCAGAATCTGTGGAGATAGGAAAAGGGAGCTGATATCCGTAGCACGTTGGTAATAGAAGCAACAAGATTTAAAATAAACTGTGGAGATATGAAAAGGGAACTGATATCCCAAGTACTGAGAAGTTCTATAGTGTATTGTGCCTGCACAAAACACACAGGCATCAAGCGGTCCCTTCCTACCCCCTGACGCACACATTCGAGCACCAAGTCAATATGTTCTGACAATCTCAATCCCTCCCAGTTGTGCAGATGGTGGTCTGCAATCCTGTTTAGGCTGCCAACATAATAATCTCTCCAGTTCCACATTCCAGGCATCCACTCAGGCTTCTTCACTGGCTGCCCATATATCCCTTTGGCGGCTGCAACAGCATTTTTATTTTTGAGGAATGTATCTGGTCAGGGTTGGAGGCCGACGATTTATAGGATTATTATATCGGAGCCTGAAATCCGACTTGAGGGAGGGACATGGGGTGGTGGTATGGTTGGGTTGCCTGTTAGTAAAGTGGATTGACGGGAAAGGATTAGGTGCGTATGGGGGGGCGGTACTTATGGGGTGGAGCTTTGCGATTAGCTTCGCAGATGAGGGTGGGTGGTGAGTGGGATGTGGGGGGTCTTATTGCGATTTGTGCAAGGATGGGGGTGTGGTTGGTATATCATGGGGACGGGAACAGTGGGTAGGCGTTGTGCGGAGTGTGTGCGGGGCTACGCTCGCATCTGTTGATTATGTGACAGTCTCTTTTCTCTATTTGGATTTGGCTTCGTTACTCTGACATGACGAAGGGTAGTAACGACTTGCTTGAATGATTCCTCCACAGGATACCGACCCGATCCTAAAAAGGTACTGGGTTGTGCTCCTATTTTGGACTGTCTATTCCGTTGTATGATTGTCCCTCAGTGATTAGTGCTTGAAACCTCTTAACCTATCGCCGGGGTGACAAAAAACTCGTTGTAACTTGTAACAGTAAATCGAGGCGTGGTAAGTAATTGTTACTGCTTCGAGGATCTTGCGCTTTGCTCTTTGCGAATGGTTGAAGAATTTCCACTTGAACTCGAGTGCTTGTGTCCTTTACGCACGCTTTGGTCTGGTGAGAAGTAGACTGTCGGATCTTACCTTCGATTTTGGGAGAGATTGCCCGTTCTGCTTCTTTTGCCTTTGTACGAGTCGCTTCACGACGAGAGTTGCCTCCTCCCTGTGACCTTCCTGTGAATAGTACATCGTGATAATAAGTGAGTCGTGATCTCTCCTAACGGGTGGTGTTTCTATGTGTTCATTCGTGGCCATTCGATCGAATCAATCGTTCGTTACATACGAAGAAAGGGCTAGCGTCTTCCTTGTGGTGGAAGGTGGTTAGGGCAGCCTGATCACATTGCCTTATGTAACTTAAACTGTTGTAGCTAGCTAGGCGTACCCTAGGGTTAGGGCGGCCTAGTGATATGCCTTTGTCGTTGATGAGTTGTGGGTTGGACGTACCCTAGGGCTAGGGCGGTCCAGCTTGTTGTTGTTTGTACCCGTGTTCAGGCAAGCTAGACCTACCCCTGGGTAGGGATGGTCTAGAATGAAGTCGTATGTAACTTTGTTTAAAGCAGATTGGGCACACCCTAGGGTTAGGGCAGCCCGGTTCTATGCTATTTGTCGTCAGTTAGGCAGAAGTCAGACGTACCTTAGGGTTAGGGCGGTCTGGTCATATGCCTTATGTGTACAGTTCATGTTATGTTGGGCATACCCTAGGGTTAGGGCAGTCCAAATGTACGTACTTTACTTGTGTACCTAGGCAGGTCAGGCATACCCTAGGGTTAGGGCCTTGTCTGACCGTATGCCATAGGAAAGAGGGATGTAAAAGAGAAGGAATTGAGCGATTTAACAAACTACTTGGACTAAATTAATGTGGGATTGTGAGAGATGTTTGGTTATGCATGCTTGTGGGCTCTCACTCGGGGGCATCTCTTTGATAGTTTAGTTGCTTTAGGTGCTCGCCGAGTGCTAGAGCTATAGGCAGGTAGGACGGATGATGGGAGGGAAAGCTTGGGATAAGATAGGATTGACTGTACTAGGAGTTAGGATCAGTGTTATCGCACAGCCTCATCAAAAGGTCGTACAGATTATCGTTGATTCTACCTTCCAAGTAAGTATCAGAAGCTAGTCCCAAGTATAGTTATGCCTTTTCTTTTCAGTTTCAGCTTTGTATAAATCTTGGCAACCTTCTGTTCCGATGGGAAGCGCTGCCGAAATTTCTACAAATCTGAAAGAGTTAGTAGTTTTTGGACTCGTAGAAAATCTGGAAAGGCACTTTTCCTACGGGAAGCGCTGCCGAAATTTCACAGAATTTAGGGAGTTAGATTATATTTTAGCTAAGAGAGACTTGACAAATCCACCCTGGATAGGGGAGATGCTGCCAAATTTTCTCAATGACTTGGCGTTAGTGAGGGAAGCTGAACGTGAGACTGATAGAGGAGCTAGGGTACGAATTGGGGAACTATCCTCTACTTGGGTTGAAAATAGTAGTGGTTCTCTTTGACCTATACTGTGATGCAGGTTTTCATATCCGATTGAAGGCTCGAATTGTTCGGCGTGATTCTACGAAAGGATCACTTGTCTGTTATCACTGATAACAGGTCGGTTGCCGATTCGTCGGTCTACGACTCAACTTTCCTATTCTCTCTTGCCTCTCAACCTAAGGCCTTGGCCCTTGCCAGGTTTTGTGTGCTTCTTTGGKTTTTCACCCAGTTTCTTTATAAATGGTCATTTCTTAAAGACYGAGTATATTTGTTGAGGGGGAATGGTTGGGYTTGTGTGMGTAAGGCAGGGTGTGAGCTGCAGGAGGCTGAAAAGTTGACTCCTTTAGTGCATGTGATGTTGTCTGAATGTCGGATGTTTGAAGGTATGTATRAGAGRGACTCGATTCAATAYGTGATTGAGTGATTATGTTTTGAATTCAGATGGGCAAACCACATAACTGTCGTGAGAGTGTACTGCCCCACAACCTGTTGTTTGGGTGAGATTGTTCTTTTCYCAGCCCRATGAYGTGATAATCAGAGTAAGCGTACGCTCGAGTAACCCTTATGGGGCTATGCGACCACACGCTTGCATCCTTCTATTCTCTTTGACTTCGTGTGGTAGGGCAGTTGTCCCAAGCCTGGAAACCAAGATCCTTGTCCGGGGCATCCCAGACCCCCGACCGACATTGAAGGTATTTTTCTTCCGATAGCGTTAAGAGGTTTTATTTTTCATCCTTGTTGAGGTTATTTTGGTGGAACGATAAAGTTCCGGGCGGAAGGATTAGCGTGTCGCTGGTGATGTGCCAGACAACTCACCACCGCTCTGAATTCCTTCCTGCCTTAGGGACCATCTTACCCCACACCCTTTGGGGMACCTCAGGGTGCAGAAAATGGTAAGGCTCTCATACCGGTTTTGCGCTTGCTAAAGGTTTACCSCCCTTAGCGCGCACTTCAGTCGAGACCAGAGCGGCGAGAGCGACCCCATGGCTCAAAAGAGGCCACTTGGGCATGGGCATCTCATAATGCGCCGACATCATGATTGCTTACGCAAACCCGCATCGTTGATTGGTATGCGTAGGTTCTGCCTCCATGCGGATTTATGTTAACCCATGTGCGCGACACTTACCAATTTCTGCGCTTGAAGGTTATGGGACGAGCAAAGAGGGCAAAAGCGCGTCACGACTAGTAAACCCAAGTTTCGGCAGCGCGAAACGACACAGGAGGCAGGGAATAAGCCTAGTCGGCCTAAGGGGACCCGTGTACGAGCCTCCAAAAGTCTCAAACATCGGTTTGCCCGTGGGTCTGAGTCTGGGCTTCACCCGCACGTATCTTTCGCGTTGGCCTACCCCTCCCTTTTGGAACTACTATCAAACTATCTGCAGTTGTTTCCTCCTTAAAGTCTTCGTGGTTGGACGTTGTAGTCCGTGGCAGCCGTGAAAGTCAAACCCCTTGATGTTTGACCGCCACGACAGCTTAAAGCTGTCTACTCAACCCCTCTTCACAGGGTGCGGAAGAGGGTGTGGTTTTCAACCGCACATGGCGGTTGTCCGGCGTAAGGAGATTACCCCTCAAAGCGCCTGTCAGCCAACACTTGAGTATCGAACGTGACCCTCGAGATTATTAAGGGTCGCGAAGCTATGAGTACCATAGAGTACCCCATCAGCGCGAATGTTTGCGAATGCCCGCATGGCTGGCCGATATGAGGAGGCCATGCGTGCGCACGACTCTTATACAAAAGTCTAGTGCACGGTACCTACCTGATTCTCGCGGCATGAAGTTATGGGTCTGATACTGAAGGGACTAGGAGTGTTGTGATGTTGTGTTTGTTTTGTGTTTTTCCATGTGATATGTGTGGGTAGATGGGAGTGTTGTGGTGTATCGCGTGGTGTGTGTGATGCGTCCTAGTCGACCGGCGCCGAGTCGTGTTTGGGACCTCAGCCCCCCAGTACGTCGATTCACGTGCGGGTCCGATTTTCAGGCGTTCGACCGCGCGTAACCCCCTATGCTACAGCGAACAAGAAAAGCCCTCGGCTGGGCCACCTCTGCAATTGCATACGAAAAACTTTCGCATGTAGTTCAGTAGCTCGGCAGGGATACGCCCACCTAAGGGATGGTGACAGCTCCCGCAAGTGGAGGTAAGCGGTGCCTCGCGTGACCCTGTCCTGTCGTAGGGGCTCGCGAGAGGTACGGTTGGCGCACTCGGTCGGAGCGGCAAACGCTCTCCGCGACAAGTCCTGCATAATCCTGCGTGACGCGGCCGGGAGGGTCCCCGTGCGGGACCGATGCGCTCGATAGGTGGCGCCGTTGTCGGGGATCTCGGCTGCCTACCGGGGTCCATAGTGAACGAACCCAGGTTAAGTGGAGGTTGGTGATCCAGGCAAAACGACAACCTTTGATGGAAAGATTTTTCTCCCTTTAATTGACGATGATACGAGTATTGTGACATTCTTGAGGGCATGTCAGATCTATTTTGATTG